CATCACGAAACGAAAAGTAAAACGATTATCTTTTAAATAGAGAAAATTACATCTCCAAAGTCTAAGTTCCTCTTGAAATTTAAAAAACACATCTCTCAACTTGTGCACAAATTTTCCCTTCATTCTGCAGTTGCCTGTCCGTCAGGATATTAACAATATTGTCTCTGTCGTTACATCATTTTTGCATTGATAATTTAAAGAAGCATCCCATCACGAAACGAAAAGTAAAACGATTATCTTTTAAATAGAGAAAATTACATCTCCAAAGTCTAAGTTCCTCTTGAAATTTAACAAACACATCTCTCAACTTGTGCACAAATTTTCCCTTCATTCTGCAGTTGCCTGTCCGTCAGGATATTAACAATATTGTTTCTGTCGTTACTTCATTTTTTCATTGATAATTTAAAGAAGCATCTCATCACGAAACGAAAAGTAAAACGATTATCTTTTAAATAGAGAAAATTACATCTCCAAAGTCTAAGTTCCTCTTGAAATTTAACAAACACATCTCTCAACTTGTGCACAAATTTTCCCTTCATTCTGCAGTTGCCTGTCCGTCAGGATATTAACAATATTGTTTCTGTCGTTACTTCATTTTTTCATTGATAATTTAAAGAAGCATCTCATCACGAAACGAAAAGTAAAACGATTATCTTTTAAATAGAGAAAATTACATCTCCAAAGTCTAAGTTCCTCTTGAAATTTAAAAAACACATCTCTCAACTTGTGCACAAATTTTCCCTTCATTCTGAAGTTGCCTGTCCGTCAGGATATTAACAATATTGTTTCTGTCGTTACTTCATTTTTTCATTGATAATTTAAAGAAGCATCCCATCACGAAACGAAAAGTAAAACGATTATCTTTTAAATAGAGTTTCTCAGTTACCCACCGAAAAGGTAGAGAAAGATCCATTGTTAAAAATTGGTAGTTTCAATTCCGTTAACGAGACAGTGCTTTCGAATCCTCTCCACGCGAACTTGTAATAGTCAATTCCATTGACGTGGGATTTAGTTTTGAATCAGATTTTAATACCCTTGGTGGCGTACAGCTACAAGCCCGAGGGTTGGGCGTTAACCCTCCCCTCTCCCCTTCCCCCATAATCTGTCAGAAACGACGAACGATCGGTTTCCGTTTGGAAGTAAGTAGTTCGGAGGCTAGTGCCGAGGGTGGAAGAGCGGAGAAGTTAAACGTTCTGAAAGTTTCCTGTCTTTTCGCCCCTCTCGCGCCCGATATCCGCTCTTATAATCCCGCGTCGTTTTCATTCGCGGCTTTCCAACTTACCTCGGGACAAGGAGTCGCGAGGAACACTCTTATTAAGGTCGGATTATCCTCTGCTCTTCGCCCGTACGACGCTCGAATCGTAATTCGTATGTTTGCGTCCTTGCCACAGACGAAGGGACCTCGCGCCTAATTCTAAACACACGCTACGTTCTTTCTACGACGATCGTAAAACTTGCAAATTAGAAGTTGGGCGTGAATTTATGTATCGGAATGCAATGTACGGCAAATTGAGTTTCGACGAGTTCAGAATATTGATTCTTCTTTCAGTTTTCGATAATAATTCTGGTTCCACTAATTGTTCATCTCTTTCAATTTATTTTCATTGAAAATCAAATATCTACGTCGACGTTCTGAAGAAGTTGTTCTCTGAGAACGCGAAAAATGAGAGTGAAAAATTCTCGCTGTTTGACAAAGCTAAAACCAATAAAACCGTCGCAGTTGCACGACAGATTTCCGGCACGCAGAGGCCGAGAGAGATCCAGTTCCTCGTCGAAATAGGCCAGGATCATTCCGATAGGATCTAGTGCGTACAAAGCAACCTTTACGGCGTACCAATTCCCATCCCGCGTCATAAACTTGTTTTCCGCACCCTCGTCAAGGGAAAACAGGCCCTTCGCTTGTACGCGCGCGCATCCCAGCAGCTCTCTACACGTAGACACACGTAGAGACACACGCGTATATCGAAGATCAAACAGAAGACCCACGACATCGAAGACGCCCTGCTATTACCCTTGACTCAACATTTCCTCTCCCTCCGAGTCGATCCTTCGAGAAGTCGAATGTCCCTCATCCCGAAAGGAGATACTACCGAGGAACGTGATCGTTCACATGAAAATGACCGGGACATTGATCTTCGGATTTATTCAAAAATTCTTGTTCCCTTCAATGTAATTCTTTTAGATTGGATACTTTCTTTCTTTCTTTCTTTCTTTCTTTCTTTCTTTTTTTTTTTTTTNTTTTTTTGATGTTACGTACAGTTTCTATTCTCTATAGAACTTTAGAAATTTCGATTTTTTTTCTTTTGATGTTACGTGCAGTTTCTATTCTCTATAGAACTTTGGAAACTTCGATTTTTGGTTTGATTTCTTCTTTCTTTCAGGACTTTAGATTGGAACGTTTTTAAAAATGATTTGAAGTTCCGATTTCATTTGGATTGAAAGGTTTTTCAGTCTAAGGATTTTTTTTTTTTTTTTTTTTGGAAATGCTTCGATCATCGGACAGATAGATAACTCTCTCTTTCTCTCTCTCTCTCTCTCTCTCTCTTCGAGAGTTAGAATTATTTCTAATTCTTGGACATGTTGCGACTCACGTCGCAAGTATAAAAAGATGTTGAAATATTCTTTATTTTCGGAGCTATTTAAATTACTCCGTTATACGATCTCTATATTAAAAATTCTTCGAATTATACAAATTCTCGTTCCCATTATCGGAGGATTCCAGCGATTATTACGAAGAATTCGTGCGATACATAACTACCGAGAATCATCGTGGTGCAAAGTTAGTTAGGTAGAGTAGTGACGGAAACATAGTAATTCCATCCGACGGCCATCAATGTTAATCATCCCTTATTGTACATTCAATTTCGTTCGCTGTCTATCCTTCAACCCATTTTGACACATCGACATACGCGTTTAATAAAACTTTTTCCTCGAAACCGATAGATTTACCCAAAAAAAAAAAAAAAATCTGCCATTATTATTATCCGATTGAAAATTTACTTTGTCCAGTGTAATAACGTGTTCATGAAACAACAAACTCGCTGCAACCTGCGCGTCGAAGAAAAGCGCACGTTCTCGGTGTTACGTGATATATTTCGAGATGGAAGAAAGGAAAAACTGGTTGCAGCACCGTGAAAGATGATAATAACGTTGCAAGAATGAAAAATACGAAAGAAAAAAAGAGAGAAAGAGAGAGAAAGAGAGAGGGAAAAGAAAAGTACGTGCAGTGGAAAATTCTAATTCTCGTGTCTCACTTTTTCTACCTGGCTTTCGTGTATTACTGCTCTAAAAATACGCAAAGAATATATAACGGTCGCATGTAAAAAAAAAGAAATAAAGCTTAATGAGTATGGATAATTTAGATGATCTAAATAGCCACGAGCTAATGGTTAAAAAGAAGTTCAACCCAAAGTTTCCTCGACGGGAGATGTTTTGGAAATAAAAGAAAAGGAAAAGTGAAGAGGCAAGTGAACGATTTCCACGCAACGAGCAGTGACAAGAGGCACGAAAACTTGTCGACAAGAAAGTAATCGTTCAAATTGGCGGACGCAATCTGCCGAGGATCAAACGTAATTTATCTAAAGTGCGTTCATAAGTCTTGCAATTAGGTGGTCGTCGAAGGGTGCACGCGAGCAATTATTGGAGAAAATTGGATAATTCCTTTGAGGCGTTACGAAAGAGGGTTAGGCTCATGATAGTGACTAATGACGATAAGCTTTGAATTAGCCTTCTTTCTGGTAAATTAACCCACTCTCCCTCCTCGTATTGATAATCGATGGTTTCCGTAGTTCAAGGTCGCAGTCTGCCTCATCTGAATTCAACTCGAAGAAAAACGTCGATCATTCCCGTGACGAATCCGATCCAATTCAGTTTTCCATGTTTTAAATTAATCGTGATAAGAAACCGATGGTATTGTTTGTCAGACGAGAAGGAGAATAGATCTGTGCTTCTTCAAGGATGAAAGCAGTGAAGATTTTTATTAACTCGGAAACCAGATCATTTGTTAGAAGTACTTCCACTCGTGACTTTCAAAACGAATCGTTAGAAATAAATTTCACTAATTAGAATATATTTCAAATGTGACAGTGTGTTAAGAATGCTAAATTGTTGCACGAAGAAGTTAATTCATTTTTCCTGGTAGACCTGATAGTCAATTAATAGAATGAATCTACACTTGTTAGTCGCGACTAGTAGTACAAGTCCGTCATATGTCAGACAAGCGTGTCACAGTCAAGTTCTCTTTAGTCAAGCGTCATTCTAGTGAATGAAAATTCCAGATTCTTAATCACAATGAAAACGACAATGGCAAGAAAAATAATCCTATATGTTTTTACAACTAGTAGTAAATATCCGTTATATGACAGGCAAATAACTTATCGTTCTCCCTAGTCAAAAATGCGCTCGATCTCGAAATCTCCAGACTTTTAATCAATGAAATAAAGAAATAAAGGATAATAAGAATAATCCTACACACATTTCGAGTAGTGAACATCCGTCATAAGTCAGACGAGTAACTTAATGTTCTCATTGATCGGACATGTGTTCGATCTCATAAGTTGCAGACTTTTAATCAGTATAAAAATAACAACGAAACAAGGAATCTAACAATATGATAATAAAAATTCTACATATATTGTGAAAAGTAGTAAATATCCATCACAAGTCGGACGAGTAACTTAATGTTCTTATTGATCAGACGTGTGTTCGATCTCAAACGTTGCAGATTTTCAATCGGAATAAAAATAACAGAACGAAATGAAGAATGATGAGAATAATCTCACATATCAAAACTTACCGGTCACCTTGATGTGATAGGGTAGTTGAGCGCGCCAGGTGTCTTGCATTTTCCTGTCAGGTGCGACGCATCGATACTCGCCAGCTTCCTGGTAAACGACTCGACTCAAAGCCAGCGGACCGGGACCACCGACTGGATCCATTCCAGGACCGTGTCCCCAGCAACCGCCGTCGCATTCCAGAGTCACCGCTCCACCGATCTGAACTTCCATCTTCCGAGAATCAGTAGCCTCGCCGTTCAACGCTTCCGCTTCCGTTTCCATGTCTGGATCGTCTAAACAGTTTGATTTAAACGGTTGTGAATGTTGGCCACATTTCGTCGAATAAAGGCAAAACAAACGGACGAAGGAAGATGCCCAAATACAGAGCGAAGATTCGTTCGGTGAAAAAAAGAAAGAAAAATTTACGAAGCTGGATAGAATACGATTCCATTTCGCCGAAATTCTTCGAAATTACTGCAACCAAACATGTTTCCCCAACGCGTGTATATCCAAAATATTTCCACGTAGTATAGAAAATTCTTCCGCGAAATTGATCTCCAGTTCGCCTGAGATACTCCTACAATCTTTTCTCGCCTATATTCAAAATTTTTCCACGTAATATGGAAAATATTCCCTCCCATAAAATTGGCCTCACCTTGAATATTTGCCACACACAAACACACAAGCCGAGAAAGGGATTACAGGTTTCAATTTTTCCAATTTTTCCGCCGTGTATCCCGTGCATTCTCAGGCACGCGGCACGCATTCGTATCTACGGGTATTTTAAAGCGTCCGTGAAATCCGGTCGGTCGTTGTCATCGATAACAACGAGGCGGCCGCGCATCAGGAATCGCACGCACGTACCGGGGATAAAGTTCAAGGTGGAAGTGTCGTAGCCACGTGCAGGCGTGATCTTCCTTCGAAGATCATCTTTTCCCGGGGTGCGAGAACACCGAACGGTGGCGAGAACGATCAAACGGACACACCGGTTACCATTCCTGTTCCAATTCTACCTACGGAATTATATGTCCGCGGCCGTTTGCTCTGCAGCTAACGCTATGTCCACAATTACGAGAGGGGAAGAGGTGTCGGCGACGAAGAGTAGAATTAGAGCGTCGATAGAATAGGTTGGTGTGTTCGTTCGGGGGAGGGACAGCGAGAGAAAGAGACGAAAGGTACAGAGAAAAAGAAAGGCAAAGAGAAGAGAGAGAAAGAGAGAAACGGAAACGACGGCGTGGTTCGGGGGGTGGGAGGGGGGAGTAGTCGAAGGTGGATGGAGAAAGAGAGCAGTCCTTTGAGTTAGCAAGCTGATCCTCTGGCTCATCCTATAACAAAACAAAGGGATCAAAGTGGTGGATGCGACGATAGGAGGCTTTTACACCCCCTCCCACCAGTGCTCCCGGTCGGCTCGTTGGCTATACCTCGTTTGTCTTGTAGTTTGTTCGGAATTTTACAGCAAACACAGTCATGATGCTATAACAAACAGCCTGGTACGCTGGGAGGTTAAGGGATGAAAAGGGGCAGAGTTTTTCCCGGTTTTTCTTTGTTAGCCCTGTGTGAATATAGAGGGAGAAGCCTCTCTTTTTTAATGGCAATTCTCGTTACCTACGAATTTGAGGCTATCGCCGGAAAATTTCGACTGACGCGCGCTTTGATCCTTGACGCGCGGACAATTCTGTCGCGTTTCGCCGCATCGACGGTATCCATGCGTCATGATCTCGCGCCCGTTGAACCGACATTGGACGCTCATCGTTGGGAAATACAAAAATACTCGAGCACGTATTGCACGATATATCGATGTTTTATCTCCTAGCGGACGAGATGTTTCGAGATGTTTTCGACGAATAGCAGTTCGTTTTCCTTTTTTTTTTTTCTTTTCTTTTTTCACGTTCCGTGTTCGAGATTTATATATTTTACACCGAGAACACCGCGAGAGCGAATCTGATACGTTAGAATTGAAATTTTATCGACGGTCGAATGTTCGTTTGACAGGTCTTTGAGGCTGAAGCATTCTTTAATGATCCGTGTTTAACGATCCAGCCGCAAATAATCCGCCTTTGAAACTATGTAGCTTTCGGCTGTAGTAATTGTTCATTAATCTGTCTGGCAGCTTAAATACTTCGGATGTCGATTGTTCGGAGCCCGATTGCTTTTGACTCCGCGTAATACGACGTTTGACGACTGATTGCTAACTGGTCGGCCAACTGAACTGCCAACTTCACATATCTCGTCGACCACTCGACTGATTAAATCTTTTTTGAATTTATTTATGGATAGAACTTTGATAATACTGCGAACGTTACAGTGACAAATTAATGTTATTAACTTTTCAATTAAACGAATTATATTTTTCAAAGCGATATCTAAATATAATTCTAAATTCCTTTATGTTTCCTTAAACACGTCGTCGTGTTTCTCAAAATTTCAATCTCACAGAGCGGGGCCACGTTTAATCGAGTGTATAATTTGAAATTTTCCCAAAACAAAGCCGCCCTTTTTTCATTCCCAAATGTCTTTCACTTTTCCCGAATGCGCACTTCCCCAAATTTCCATCGCGACAGCAGGATGGCTCTAAACACAATAGCAGTAGCCCGAGAGCGATCACCCAGCAAATCACGTTTCAGAATCAATTTCCTAAACAATGCACTCTGATCGAACCCCGAACGTTCTCTACCCCAAATCTACCACACTTTCACCTTTCCACCGCTTGTGAAACGTACATACGTTATCGGTTATCCACGATTGCGCGAAATTGGTGTGCGCCGTTTAAAACCCCCAGACGTTATCCACGAATAAGTAATCCGACCAGGAATTATCGAACAGGACGATCGATAATTCCTTACGGAGGAGAGGGTGGTTGGTTTATAGGTGCTGCCGAGCCATCTAAATTGCGTAGAGATTAGGTGCTCGGAAACCCGTATCCAGGATCCCCGTCGGTCGACGGTGCGAACGGAAGCTGCAGCTGAACAGGCGGAAAGGGGCAGAGGAGGTTGGGAAAAGGAGGAAACTCCAAGGTTCAAGGGGAATACCCTCCTTCCTCTCTCGCCCTCCCGGCCGCCCCTCTGTTTCACTGGTTATAATGGCAAGATGGAAGGACCTATGGGGTCCAGGGCTGGGTAGGAGGAAATTTGCAAATTTTCACGACAGGGCGCGGATAATTTCCGGTTGGCTCGGCGGTTTCCGTACTTGACAAATGACTGTGGTTTCCGGTTATCGGCTCCACCGACGACTACTCTTGCATTCCGAATTAGCGGGAATGTGTCTGCCGGTCTGCGGGAGAGACGATATTCTTTTCTTCTCCACCTACGATTCCACCTCCCTTATCCTCGACCACGTTACGTGATTCGTTTCTTTGTTCGATGAGGTTTCTCTCTTGCGTACGAGTGAAACTATATCATGATTTTGATTTCGTGTCAACAAGATCGCGGGAGAAAGAAAATTTGCAATTATCTACGTGATAATAATAAACGTAACTTTTTTTTTTATCAAAATTAATAACAATCGCATTATTGATCTTATTAACCTCTTGCGCTGGAATGACGTGCCACGCACGTCGAGAATATTTTTTTTTCCCCCAAAATTGTAATATTTACTAAGCTTTAAGTATACTTAAGTAAAACAAACAAGGCAAAACAAATAATAAATTTATTGCACCTCAATAATTTCCATTCAGTGATATACCGACGAGTTCAAAAAGAAAGCGACGAATTATTGTATACAGTTCGGTCACTCGTTATGGTCCGCAATCAGTTGCCAGCGCATGTGGTTATTCCTTTAAATTTTCCTTTCCTCGCTGGCGATACATATATCAGATCAATTAAACTGGAGCATTCTCTTTGACAAACAAACACGTACGGAGTACAGACGTTCGTACGAAATGTGAAGATACCACGTAGGTAATGGAAACGTTTATCAATTGTTCGATCGTCGAAAGGGAAGGAAATCGAAGTACGAAACGGTAAATTCTCTTATTCAGGGCAAGGCGATACGTGTAGACTGGAAAACGGATATTCTGTCGAAATTTTAAAGCAATTTTGAATCGCCTTTACCGCGGGGCGTTTAATAACATAAATCTCCGCCGGTGACGCAAACATATCGCATTTCGAAGACTCGGTGGATCGTTTCAACGAACGAAACCCCCCGGTTCAATCGCTCTCATAATTCAAACAGCCCCGGTGCTACGTGGCCCCGCGATTTCCATTAATTTCTAATATTACTGTACCCTTTATCGGCTCGTACGGCCGCTCTACTTATTCTATTTTTAACCATTTCATTGTTATAGAACGAAATGGCCGTTCCATAGCTCGCTCGATAAATCCATTCGTTTGGCCGTGGAGCGCCGATAGATTGTACCGTGTATTTAGCACGACATTCAACGTCTTTACTTGAATCAATATCGCGAAGATCGTCAAATCAAATGGATAACACAAAGCCGTTTCGTTCTTCGATTGCCACTGAATCTTTATAATTTGACTTGAAAGACGAAAGAATGGGTTCGTTCAATTTTCCGAAAGGTCGTCCGTTTCCTTGAGTTATTACCAGAGTCGAATATCTTACTTTGGTACTGTTATATCAATGAATCATTTGATACAACTTTTCACAGTACACACGTGACAAATTCAATTTAATATCATATTGATTCTAAACTTCCAACTTTCCAACGTAAACAAGAATACATCGATTACTTTCTCAGAACATTATTCAAACAAGATAAATTCCATTGACTGAAAGTGCTGAAAGCTACGGCGTAATATTTTAAAGAGATTAATCGTCTCCCAGGGCAGTAATAACGTAGCTAACAAGACGATACTACAAAATGAAGAACGTACTTCCATCGAACTACGCTATAAGTTTTCTCACGATAATCGACGTATCAAATCGAATCGAGAAACTCGACGAGGTAACAAACTCCTCCAGCCCGAATCAGGAATTTCGACGAGAGTTTCCACAGAACGTTTCAAACGCATTGAAAGAAAGGAACAAAAANAAAAAAAAAAAAAAAAAAAAAAAAAAAAGAAGAAGAAGAAGAAACAAAAGGAAAGAAGAGCGAAAATGAAGGAAAGAAGAAAAGTACTCACAGCGTACGTTCAGAAAATAACCGATGCTGGTGAATATGCCGAGCATGTGCCTGGTATAACATTTGTACCAGCCGCTCTCGGCACGGGTGATTTTTGTGAAGTTCAGCCATCCGTCGTCACTCTGCTCGACGGGCGGTCCATTGTCTGAAACATAAACGGAGAGGCTATGGTATGGTACAGGAATTAACTCGGTGGAAACATCGCGTCGTCCGACCGAGTCGCCGGCGATTCCACGCGCGCGTTTCTCGCGCGGAATCGCGCCGCCGCGCCGCTACCCGATTAACCGGCGTCGCCGTGGAATTACGCGGTCGATGCTGGCGCAACGCCAACACCGTACTCGTTACATTGTCCTTCGAAAAATCTCTGCACGCGCAGGATTACGGCTCGAAAGCTGGAACAAGGGAAAGGAGGGAGGGAAGGGAGAGAGGCTGTGTTCGAGGGAGACAGGTAACCTCGGTTAATGTTTCCACTTGGAACGCGAGTCGCGGTAAATAGCGAACTTCGCGTAAGTTTGCCACTTCGAGTGTGAATCGTAGCGAAAGGAGAACTTGCGCGAAGTAATCTTTTGTAATTGCGGTGTTTCGAGTCGGCCAAGTCTTCGTGCTCGCCGGCGAGTTTTTGTATATTTATGTTTTCTTTCGGTCTGCATCGTTGACAAATTCAAATTGTTTGAACATTGGTTATTTTAATGAACTAAGTATCGCAGATTTTTCTGACTCCCGTGTTTGTGGTTTTTGATACGATATTCGATCAGAAGTATTCGGACAAGCAATTCTTAACGTGCGATATATTACTTGATTAATGTAATATGGAGAAGGGAGTAATACATAAGTTCATTTTAACGGTGTTAATAAATTCTGATGAGAAATATATATTTTTCGTTGTGAACTGAATTGTGCGTGACGAAAAAATTCGGACGACGTTAACTAAAAGAACACAAATACTTTCGCACTTTTTCAATGTGGAAAAAGTTGAATGATTAATATTTTGTTGCGTATCCCTTTGAATCAATGACGGCTTGCATTCTTTTCGGCGTAGATTTTAAAAGCCTTTGAATTTCCTCGTAACGAACAGTTCTCCATTTTTGATGCAATATTTCGAACAATTCATTCGTGTTTTTGTGTTTCTCGACTCTCACGTTTCGTATTAAACTAAAAGTTTTCGTTGGGATTTTAGTCCGTATTTTACGATGGCCATTCCATTACTGAAATTTATTTCCGCATTAACCAATTTTTGACAATACGAGAAGCGTGTTATTTAAGATCATTATCGTGATGTTGTAATATCCAATTATTTGGCATGCTTTTTAATGCGTGTAGTATGCATTTGTGTTTCCAAAATGTTAACGTAATCATGTTTGTCCATAATTCCTTGTATTCGATATTGGTGAATCAATTCCGTACTCAGAAAAGTATCCCCAAACCATTGTGGCTTCTCCTCCACGTTTCAATGTAGAAAATTGATGGCGAACATCAAACCTTCTTCCTTATTCTCGACGAACCTATTGTATTCTATTAGAGACGAGCAACTTTACTATTGCTAAAGAAGACGTTTGCCTAAGTTTCAAGGTTTAATTATCATCAACCGTTATTAATATTATTAGCGAAATATTGCTACAATTGTCTGATATCTCAAAGAATGGATTAATAAAGAAATGTTGTATTAAATGTTGTATTAAAACATCAGGGAAGATGTGTTTGTTCGACTTCTTTTGTTTAATAAAGACATTGTGCATCTTTCAAGGTTTAATTGCTATGCATCATTGTTAATATTACACAGCGGAATATTTTTACAACTGTCTGAAGTCTCAAAGAGTGGGTAGAAAAAATCGCTCGTGCTTGTAACGCGACACGTCGTATTAAAAATACGCGTGGAATTGAACATCGAACGCGAATGAACTCGAGGCATAAGTCGCAGGGAATGGGGATTCACCGGGGCGTCGATAAATCAAACTACAGCGGGGCGATTCCAGCTATCAATAATCCCAATTAAAACGAACAGCCGCGATAAATCGCCGGACGGTTAGAACCCTTTCGTGCAGCCGGGACTTAAAGCCCAGCGATCGTACCGATCGTATTTTCGTTAATCAAATTAGTACACGCGATCCGGCTATCTTCTTTCCTTCGACCGGGCTGCTGCTGCTGCTGCAATAAGAAGCGAACGGTGGCATACGCCGGGAGGATCTACGCCGCGGCTCGGCTTACTCGAGCGAACGAGCGAAACAAAGAAACCGTGGAGAAGAAAAATCGAGCGAAGGGAAAGAAAAGAGAGAGAAAGAAAGAAAAGAAAAGAAAAGAAAAGAAAAGAAAAGAAAAGAAAAGAAAAGAAAAGAGAAGAAAACGGGGTTGGGAAAGCCGGGCGGTATCCGTTTCGCCAAGTCGTTCGCGAAAACTTTCATCCGGCCATAGGCATTTCGTTGGCTCGTTGTTTTTAGCTCGCCATCCCTCCCCCTCCTGCTCCACCCGATGCGATTTGACGAGAAACAGGATTCGACGCAGCTGTCGGATTTACTGGCGGTTCTCCGTGCTACGTGCTGAATGTGTAACAACGTCGACCGACGGGTTGGAACGCTGGATGGCTGAAGAAACAAGGAGCAGAGGAAGAGAGCGTGTTGGCTCGACAGAGCCACCACGGTGAAAGAAAACGAAACTAGGAGAGCAAGAGAGAAAGAGGTACAGTGTACAAAAAACGTCGACTGGGGACTGAGAGTTTCTATAACGAAACTTTTACGCGACCCGGCATAACGGCGTTCGGTGGGTTTGAAACCGTCGCGGAGGGTGGTTCGGATCAGACCAGCGACTGTCTCGCTAAACAGAGGGCTCGTGCCGCTGCCAAAACATGCTCGATTGTGTTAACGGGATCTATAGAGGGCCACGGGGCTAGGGCTAGCAAAATGCCGTGCCATTCTGTATGAAATAAGAGCGGACCGTGACTTGGCCCGAGAATCACGGCATATCCGGTAGGGTTATGCGGGATTCCGGCTATTTGGCCCAGAAACAAACGAACCGTGCTTGAAACCGACTGTGCACCGAGGGAATGGACCAGGAAGGGAGCTCGGGATATCGGTGTGGACGAGTTGCGGAGAGAGTATTTAGTATAACGTTTGAGCATTCGGTAATTTCGAGGGCGGAGGCTGGGCTACGATATCGGAAACTTATTGAATATTTCGAAACACGGACAGCGTAAATGATAGTACGATGGTAGTACCAGCGAATGCAGAAAGATTCGCTCGATTCGTTTTCTGATTCGAAATTAGGATTCTAAGATTTGTTCCTGGAATAAAGTGAACTGGAATAGCGCGGCGACGATTGAAACAGAATTGAAGAAAATCAGATTTTTCACGGCTCGACGCGTATTTTACGCGCTTACGGTTGCTTCAAGGAACGAGATATCGTTCGCCTAAGCTCGAGCAGCCGGCTATCGCGTTAATCGCGCGTTGGGAAAGCAACGCAGATTGCGTTTTTTGCGTGCTGCTCGGGCAAAAGATAAAAGAACAATCGCGAAAAGGAAGCGTTCTCACGGAGAGACGAGTTCACGCGAGGTTTGCTCGTTCCTTTACTGTGTAATCATTCCCCCCCAAAAAGGGAAAAGCGTCGCGCGCCTTTACCGTACCGAGCACATTAGTTAGATGGACAAAGAAAAAAAAAAAAAAAAAAACGTCTGTGAACGTAAATATCGACCCGATTGCACAGTGTCCTTCGCCATTTTATCTTTGACAAAAAGAAGAGACGAACGATCGTTTGTTATCAACTCCGGGGCTGAAGAAAACGTCTACTCTCGATTCAATAGCAGTAAAAAGTATTTCCTTGTTCCTTGAGGAGCGATCGAACATTTCATTGGATTCTCATTTATTTAGACTCTTGGAAAATTCGTTTAAATGACGGAACTTCAGGGAATCACCGACCAAACAGTGAATGAAACAAATGGAACTGTCTAAGATAAGCCTTTGAATCTAATAAAATTCATATCCCCGTTTAATCTAGTTTTGCTTAGTCGCTTTCTCCATTTTTGATGTACAAATATCGAACCACTTTAATCGTTTGAAACAGAAAAATCGCTAGACCGCGAATTTGACGTGCGAAGTCAGCAGAGCTTCGTCTCGCCTGTTAAATATTGCAACTGTATTTTCGACATTTCGCACAACCTCGTTTATTGTTTACGTTCCATGCATTTTTTATTACTTTAAATGCGTAAAAATCCAGTGATTACTGTCACGCATGATGGAAACCAATCCAAGATTCGAGTCTACGTGAAAATAAAAAAATAAAAAAAAAAGAAATACGTCTAAGCGAAACTAGATCAAATAGATCTATTTTCCATAAATCTCGCGTACGTGAGAAAAACTCGAATTTTCCCTCACTCCTCTCCCTCGGAGTTCATCCAAAGTAGACACCGAGACGTCGCCTTTTTATCCATCGCGAAAGGGAAGCGAACATTTATTGTTAGAATACGTCGGCGAGCTCCATCGTCGAGACACGGCGTGAAAAAAGCCGAAATGAGGTTACGTATAACAGACATACACATATATTTGACTCCGGCGCTGGCATCGCATTATACGCCAGGTTCGTATGAACAATGATCGGATGGGGATCTACTTCCCCCGGAGCGGTTTCCCACAGCTGACGCGGTCGTACGTTCTCCGGGAACCGTCCGTACCTCGAATGTATCGTCGTGATAAATCGTTCGACGGCGCCGTGATAAATTTATTCTCCTTTTCATTTAAAAATATCCTCGCCCTTAACCGGGCCACTTTATACCGATCATTACATATTGATCGTATCGTCGATAGCAGTGGAGCCAACCGCCGCTTTTTTTTTTTCGTCTCCTTATGCGCCGATAAGTCTTTAGATCGACAATGTCGAACGTCGTGGCGTGGCACTCCGAGATTATCCCGGGCACGAACACACAGTCGCCGATATTATCGTCCTGGTGAAATTTCGCGAACAGGCTCGGCTCGCGGTAGGCTAATGCGGGTTATAGATATTTATCGATAAATTGAATTCACGGTGACACAGTAGAGAGCTGAAGTGGATGGCGATCGATTGAAAAATTGATCGTGCCTTGGGAACGATACGCGAAAGGGGATGCGATTAGGGATTCCGAGATAGATCGTACAGTCGTCTAAAAATGCAACTGAACTTGTG